CTCCCAGAATTCCCCAGCCAGCATGGGGAATTCTGGGAGTTGAAGTCCACACATCTTCAAGTTGCCAAGGTTGAGAAACACTGGTAGCCCACACCACTGCTATTCCTTGGAGTAACCAGATCTGACCTTGCTCAGCTTCTAAGCTCAAAGATAAATACTAAATACTATCCTCCCAGGCACTAGGGTCACTAAGCCAGACCATCTTCCAAATTCTTTATTTTGTTTCCTCTGAACTCAGGAAAGTTCATGCATGCGTCGGTACTTCCTGCTCAGTTTGCCTTACCACTCTGCAAAGGGAACTCTAGTCTACCACAGCATCTGCAGGCCCAGCCCTGCTGATTTCTGCCCAGGAAATAGCTTTTTATCACCACTGAACAGAAAAGTATGAGGAAACCCGAAGGAGTCCCCCCCACTCCCCCACACACAATACTGGTAACTTAGTTATCAACAGTCCCACTCTCAGCCTGTTTCCTTTCACTTCCTACCAAAGTTCCCATCTTCAACAGAAAAAGGACCTTCTCTCACTAACGCTGGGAGGGCACTCTTTTGGAAGTACATGTAGTCCTCGCTTAATGACCCTAATTGAGACCAGAATTTCCACTGCTAAGCAAAGCAGCCATTAGGCTAATCATCACATGACCACAACACTTAGAGACGGTAGTTCCGGTAGTCCTGGTTGCAGTCATTAGGCCAGGACTGCACCGTTGTTAGGCGAGTACCTCATGTTTCTCCTGCCTTGCTGCGCTTGCCTCTGCTTCAACTTTCCCACGCACCTATCTCCCCCATCTCTGCCCTTTTGGCCGCCCTGCCCTCTGCCACTACCACCTACCCGTCATCCCTCCACCAACCTTCACCATCTTCTCCCTCCCGCTGCTGACAAGTTGCGCCTGGCCACAGCAGCTTCCGGCCCTTGTGAGGCCTCTGCATGGCCTCATAAGGCCTCAGAATAGGCATGAGGGGGTCACACGAAGGCCTCACAAAGGGCCAGAAGCTGCCTCGGGTCGGTGCACGTCAGCAGCAGCAGGAGGAAGAAAAGAGCAAAGGTTGGCAGGGGGCAGCAGAGATAGGTGGCAGAGTGCAGGGTGGCCAAAAGAGCAGGGATGGGGGGGAGATAGGCAGTTGAAGCATACTCTGCAGTTGTAAATGTGGGCAGGATGCCAAGCGCCCAAATTTTGATCACATGACGGCGGGGGCACTGCAAAAGCCGTAACTTCAAGGACTGGTTGTAACTACCATTTGTTCAGCGCCATCATAACTTTTGGTCACTGAATGAATGCTTGTTAAGCAAGGACTACCTGTACATTAACAAGGTAGATTCCTGCTAGACCAGGCCAACGATTTATGCAGGCCGAAGATTTATGCAGCCCAGTGTTGTTTCTGAAATAGAGCCATCATGTGTTCTCTGGAAGCTTACAAGGCCCTGGGCAACAAGGAAAACCATCCCTGATCAACTGAGGCTCTGGCTTCTAAATAAGTTCCCCATCCTGGGGAATTGCCACTGACAGGCCAATTGTCTATGAATTGGTTATATGATCAAGATCAGCTTCTCCCAACTTGGTACTCTCCAAATAGCTGAGAATTCTGGGAGCTGCAGTCCCAACACATGTGGAGGATGCTCGGTTGGGGAAGGCCACCATGGCAGCAACTTTGACAACACTCTTTGAAATTAATTCCTTAAGTTGACTACGCAGCTCATGAAGGAACATCAGCAAAATCCACCTTCCAGATTATTCTTGAGTTTGATTATCTAGAAATCAGCCAGGGGTCAAACATTTTTCTTTATTATTGTTTCATACTTCTTCCCAACATTTTATTTTCCTTCATCCTTGATATTTAGCTGGTTTAAGAACTGCCAGAGTCTCTCTATATCATGGTCTAATTGATCAAAGAATCCTTTGGCATCCATTGCTCTTGGTGGCTGGCTAGCTAGCTCAGAATTTTCTGGTGTACGCTAAGCTGCTCACCAGTCATTTTAAAAAGAACAAGTTTCTAATTCTCATTGAGTAGAACTGGGTCTTTGCGCTTTATTTTTTTTAAAGCTCCTGTTCCTTCCAGTGGCTCCCCAGACAGTTCCCTACGCCACAAGTTACAGAAGAGAATCAGTGAAATCCTGGAGAGGTGAGCAAAAGAGCAAGGAACGGAATCCAAGTGCAGCTGGAAGACTCAGAGGAAAACAGCTGCTTTTGGGATTCCGTTGCCCATTCTTATGCCTTCATAGAAGCTGGTAACTGACTGAAAGCAGAACAGAAGGAGGCAAATTCTGTTGCTGGAGAGACCAAGCTGCACACTGTGAACCCCACAGAGGAGAGCAACGCATATGACAGAGCAAGGGCGTGAACATCATTCCAGCAAGAGTAACACTGCACACTTAAAACCTGCAAGGAGACAAAGCCCAACGAAGGTCAATAAACCTGTCTGCAAAGTCTCAACAACTGGATTCATGTCCCTCTGAAGATTCAGACCTCGCTTTTCAAGGTTCAGGCCTTTTTCTTCACGCAGTGCACAATTAACTGGCAGGATTTATTACCACAAGATGTGGTGATGGCCGGCAACATGGATGGCTGTAATAGTGGTAGGGTAAATTCATGACAGACACATTTCCTAAGGCTTGTTGATCTTGAGGACTCAGTGTTACTTCCAGGTTGGGGGCAGCTTGCCTCCAAATACCAGTTGCAGGGAACAATGTCAGGAGAGATCTATGCCTCCATCTCCTGCACGTGAGCACCCAAGACAGGTCGTTGGCCTCTGTAGGAAATAAAATGCTGGATTAAGACCTTGGTTGCCAAGAAGTGTCAAAAAGGCCAATATGGGAGCCACAACCACATGATTGAAGCCTTGTCCCCTTTTCACATACATACATACATACATACATAATCATAGCATGATGGCTGGGATTATTGTGCCATTTCCACTGTTACTACTAGCTGATTTGGATTATGCAAATTAGGAAAGGTAGCTGTGCTCTGGTACCATTTCTCACAAAGTGTCATCCCTGGAAATCCAGGAACCAGAAAGGAGGACGGGAAAACCATAGACCTCTTCTGCTGCTATTTCAAAATTGATTATTTCTGATCCAGAAAGTTCTATTAGGACAATGGTTAACAAACACAGGTAGATCTGAGCCATAAATTGGTCAAATCTTTCAAAGTTCTCCAAGCCAACTGGCCATCACTACATCCTGTTGCAATGATTTCCACCGGCTAATTAACAGTGCAGTACAGCGTATTCTTTTTCAGGTATCATTATAAGAAGCCCAAGCCACCTGTAGAATGAAAGTGCCAGGTGTGCAGAAAGGTTTCTGTCTGAAAACACACCAAGAACACCTTTCAGCCCATGAGACACGTTGTCTGGAAAGGTTGCTAATGCAGTGTTGAGAGGTGGGAGGGAAATGTTTGCAAATCAAAAATCTATTCCAACATCACTTGTGCAAGCAACTCGGTAACTGCTCAGCAAGCAGAACAGGGCTTCTTCATTGCCGCAATCCATTCCTGCCACCAGACCTTTTTTGGGTGGATTATTTCTCCCTCTATCCCCTTTTCACTTCACTGATGCTTGCATACAACAAACAAGATATACCTTGGGAGGTGGAAGGCTTCTCTTGTATCCACAATCCTCCTCCTACCTGTTGCCACCCAGTTCCCCAGAGCTGTTATATTCTCTGGGGTGCAGCCAAGTGGATTGGCCAGGGTCATATTTCAAATCTTTTATTGCTATTCAACTTCCCTGTAACCCTTTCCTTTGCAGAGCAGATGTACCCATTGTATTATTAGCCAGGAAATAAGAGAAGGGGAGAACCTACAGGGGAAGAGACTCTCGTGGGAACAATGAGAAGGGCTGACATGGAGGACCAGGAAGAAGGCCCCCAATGAAGGAGGGAAGGTTGGCCTTTGGGGAGTGGAACACTAACAGTGCAGCCAAATGCAATAAATATACAGAATCCACAAATTCCTAAGGCTCCAGTAAGAAAAGGAGTCAGAGCTGACACCACCTATCTGTGCAAGGCTTAAAGGCACAGCACCCTTGAAAGGGTCTAGGTACTACCAGGATTAGGTAACCAGATATACTGCTGAACTACAACTACCAACAGCCCCAGCCAGCACGGGCCCAGTATTCCATTAATCTCTGGAAGGCCATAGATTTTCCACCTCTGCCTGTTTATTCCCACCCATCCCTCCAATCCTTAGACCCAGCCTTTCACTCCAAACTATGATGAGATGGTTTCACCAGAGTTTGTGCTATAAAACAAGTTACAGGCCGTGCTTCACACCACTTGCTTGGCAGCTGCATCAACGGCATGAGCAATGGGTGACATTCCTAAGTGCTTCCGGAAGAGTTATTGCTACAGGATTCTCTCATGTCCCCATTCTAATTTCAGAGGTATGGTGGATTCTACAACCCTGTCTACTGCTTTGGCGCTTATCTTCCTTGGCTGCCAGGCAGACTCCGTGGAAGGCCATAAAGACTTCTGCTGGCATACACAGTACCTCCTGGCAAATAAGCCTTATTGAATACCACGGGACACACAAATAAATATGAAAAAATAGACCGATCCCATCTACCCCCTCCCCAAATCCATGAGTTTCTTACAGAAAAGAACTATTGAGGGAAGCATATTCAGTTTTTCACATTTTATTGGGAGAGCGAGGCAGAGATGTCAAGATGTAGTCATCTTAGCGCTGCTTCCAATGTTAACTTCCCTAGAGGATGTCCACTTTTCTAAAAAACAGCTGAAAGAGTAATGCAATTGCTACAAGCACAGGCCTCCAGAATACACTACTCCACATTCATTTTAGTTTAGGCTACTTTAGCAAGTTAGGTAGATAATGGAGGCATGTGGATTAAAAACACTGAAGTAGTTGTATTAATGATGTAAAGCACTAAACCCTTCAAATACTGTAGTACTGCTTTGGAATGACAATATAGGGTTACATAGCAGAGATGGAAAGCAGTGGCCTACAGGTGTTCTAAGCAACATGATCAAGAATGAGGCATGCTGGGAACTGTAGTTGAATAACATCCAGAAGGAATGTTTCCAATCACTGTTGCAGAAGTTCAGTCAAGGTACCTTTTCCATTCATCCCTTTGGTAAAATGGATGGAGATTTGCATGTATTGTATGCATGTGCATTTTTCAATTTTAAGAAGAAAACCTGAACGTGCTGTTCTCTCTTAAAATCCTGATTGAAAAACTAAAAAGGTTTTTTGTTTTTCAATCAGGATTTTAAGAAGTAACCCACACTCAAAAGGATATGGTGATCATTTACTGAACTGGGATATGTACTGCTAAAGAAGTGACAACTTATATCAAAACCACATCCCCTTAGAAAAAACAGAGCTCTGCATCAGAAATGCACCATGTTTCAGAGAGGGCAAATCAGTGGCCCTCTGAACAAGCCCCGTACTCGTCCCTGATGCCCTACAAAGTTTCTCTTATCAGTATCCCCATCTCAGATCATATCCACAATCCTAGATTTTTCTAAACTGCACTTTAAATCTCCACAAAGCAAAAAAAAAAAAATCTAATGTGAGGTGGTGCATAAAAGCATTTCAAAAATAGACACAAAAAGACAAATTTCAGTCGAACATGCATACACAATTCCCACCCACCTACTTCAGTTTCCTCTTTTTTAAAAAGAGGAACAGTTTCATGTCAGATTCTCCCCAAGCTGTTTTCTGAACCCCTGGAAACAATCTGTACAAATCATTCTGGATCATTATTCAACCTGCGGTTGTTGGGCTGGATCCAGGCTTAGTCATAACAAGAGTAAATCTATTGAAATCAATGGGGCTTAAGTCATTCATGACTAATTTACAATCAGTTGATTTCAATAGCCCTTTTCCAAGTCATGACTAAACCTGGAATCAATACCTTATTCTTAAACCTATAAAACCTCACCCCATTTGGACATTTTTTTTTTTCCTTAGCCTCAAATTGAGTAATTTTATATTGAAAAGCATTCCGATTCAGTGAGTAACTACTTAAGCCTTCAAACCAAATGCCTGGGGTTGGCTATTCCTTTTTCAACAGGACTTACACAGGATTGGCCAGATGCAAAAGAGGACACCGTCTGTGTAGCAGAGGAAAAGTCATCTACTTGTATCTACTGAAATTCCTTGTCCTATATAATGAAGAAAAGGCAGAAATCCCGTCTTCTTTTGAACCTCAACCAGCAGCGACTGACATTATTTAGTGCAGATGGTGGCAATCTGGCACCTAAAGATACATAATTTGTTGCCACCGACCATGGTGAATAGCGATGAATATGTCCGACCAACTGGAAGCCACCAACCTGGCACCCCAATTTAGTAGAGAGCAATTTCCCACCTTTCAAAACCTGGTTTCTCCAACAGAGGTGCTGAAAATAACCGGGTGGAGGTTCCATCTAATCCACTGGGGGATTTCCTATAAAGCAGAGCACTCAATGTGAGAGCAGGAAACTATACGACAGAAAGGGAAATCAATGTGGAGGAATCTATTTCTGAAAGAAGCTGTGTCTTTAAAGGTTGCATAATTTCAACAGACGAAACTAAAGGAAACCACCACTGGTGGCTTTTTCTGGCACGGAAAGGCAAGAAGGGGAAAAACTTCATCTCTTGAAAGGCAGAGACTTTCTACCCATCAAAAAAGATAATTTCCCCTAGTGCACTGGGGAAGTAATTTACATCCAAAGAGCAGAAGAGGCATTGTCCTGCTTCTGTTTCTCCCCAAATACATTGTTCTTAAAAATAGATACATGAATGAGAGATAGAAGAGGGGCAAAATCCAGCTTCATATTACTTTTTTTAATATAGAAGGCAACAGGCAGAAGTAGGGGCTCTTATTAGAACTTGTATGTTCAGTTCTGATAAACTGAGTTAGACCAGCATGTTTCTTCATTCACGCTACAATCCTATGTATTAGGATTGTAGTTATTTGTTGTTATTTGTAGTTATTTGTTAGTTATCTGGAACTAAGTTCATTTGGGTAAGATTTGCTTCCAGGTCCAATCCTATTACTTACTGAGAAGTACATCTGTATCTAGAACACTTTTGGGCATGGGGATTAATACAAACTTAGGGCACTATGAGATTTATTTTACGGCACTAAACCCCCCAGGCCCACTGCTGTTATTCCCATTTTGCAGAGGAATAACTGAGACTGAAGAGAGGGGTTCACCGGAGGTCACCCTGCTAGTTTCTGGCAAGACAAAGGTTAGACCTGGGAATACTTGGTTTTGTGGGATAAACCGTTGCCAGTTGACTCCTGATGCAGAGATGGGAAGTCAAGAAATAAATGGCCCTTGGAAGGACCTTACGCTCCTGTCCTTTCCCCTCCTGGCCTGCCCAGAAGCACGAGGAAAGTTCATCTGCCCTCGCCGCCCAGAAGGACTCTTTCCTTGCCTGATCAAGAGGCAGCCATCAGCTGGAAGGCTCCCACGCCGTTTCTGCTCGTTGCACTTACTAAGGGGATCCCGCGCCAAGCAAGGGAGCAGAGACAATCCTGGAGAAGCTACGGGGCAAACCTACCTCGGCAGGAAGGCGCTCGGCTCCTGGTTACTTGAAGGCAACGCTCCCTTCCCCTGCGCTCCGCTTCCTTAACCCCGGCCGCACCCTGGCCGCGGGGCCGGGGGCAAGTCCTTTCCGCCTCCCCGCTCAGCCGCGTCACCTCCTCGCAGAGCGCACCCTTCGACACGCTTCGCCTCCCGTGGAAACGCCGGAGGAGGAATGGGGGCTTCTCGCTTCTCCCCCGGTCTCGCGCTCGCCTTCTCCCACGGCGGCGCCCGCCCGCCCGCAGAAGCACGTGCGGGGCTCCCGCTGCCCCTTTCCTATTTGGAGACCCCTCCCTCCTTCCCTCCCTCTCCCTCTCTCACCTGGCCGACTTCGGAAGGCGACATCGCCAGATAGGTGGCCTCGCTTAGCCGTGCTGGACAGTACCAAAGAGTCAGCCGGGCCGGGCCGGGCCCCGCCTTGCCTTGCCCTGCCCGCAGGGACTCGGCCGTCTGACCAGCCGCGCGCACAAGCTGCATTCCGGCCCGCTCTGCTCCGCTCCTTCCCGGGCATTTTATGCCGAGGGGACCAACGAATTTCCCCCTGCCTTCCCCTCCTGGGAAGCCCATCTCAGCCAATCAGGGCTGCTTGGGGCAGGCCGGAATCTCCCTCCTATTGTTTTATTTTTTTTCTTAGCCCAAACTAACTTCTGCTTTTCGCAAAGCGGCTGCCGTCGCCCCCCCCCGCAAGCCCCCACCATTTTCTTTTTTTTTTTTTCTTTCGCCACATACCCCCCGGGTCCGGCCCCC